AAGGGCGAGCATGTTTGGTGGGATGGGGATGCGAACCCGCGCCCCGCAGATTGCAAGTCGAGCGTCCTAACCACCTGACCATGCTGGGCCGATATTTTTTGAATCAACATCATCAAATTACTCGAAACTATTCGCATTATTTTTATTAGCAGAGTTTTTTTGTTGTTGTTGCTCAGCGTTATCAGACAGATAGATAAAGTTAACGTTAATTAGTGACTTACCAGTTCTGAACAAAAATGATTGGTGTACAGACAGATAAAGCCAACTTACTAGTTCTGACAAATTATCAGCGGAGCCCCAGCTTTTCAACCTGGTCACCCCTCTACCACCAGTCAATGCTGCTGCCGTTTTCTTCACCCGACTATTGAGAGAACCAATCCTCATGAAGCTTAGGTCCTTGTCGGCCATCTTGGACACTATCAAAAAAACAGGTACAAGCATAAAATCAGAAGATTGCTCTGGAAAGCTTCAAAACAATGCGACCAAAACACACGACCACTTTTAGAAATGCTAACAATTTGAGTAATGACAACTTGAATTTGGTACATATATTGGTATTTTCAGGACTAACCCACTCGGGTATGTTCAGTACACGAAGCTTAGTACTGACCCACTTGGGCATGTTCAGTACACAAAGTTCTATACTGACCTACTTGGGCATGTTCAGTACACAAATATCTATACTGACCTACTCGGGTATGTTCAGTACACAAAGTTCTGTACTGACTCCAAAGAATTTATTCAGAACGTGGCGTTTTCTGATACACACACGTTTGTTTAGTGTATAACTTACTGTAGTAACTCCAAAAACGTACTTAACGATGTCTTCCAGGCCACAAAGGTGTTTCCAGTACACAATGGTGCTCTATATCGAACCCCCCCGGGAATAATAATAACGTGCCATTATGTAGAGACACATGCCACTCTGTGTCCAAGATACGACTGTCTATTCAACATATCACTGTATGCTATTGATGACAAATTACTGAAATCTGAAATCAAAATGATTCTGCTCATCTACAAATCATTATTTGACAAAAGTCTGTCTGTATGTACGCTTATAACTCGCGAGCCGTTGGACCGTTTGTCACCAAATCTGGCATGTATCCTTCAGCCCTCTCCTCCGGGGAATTACATAAGGATGTCTGCGTTAGAATCTGCTCCCCCCGCATTGCCCATACGTTAGCAGGTCATGCATAAAAGAACCCCGTTAAACAGCAACAACAACGAAGAAATATCCACACATGCTACATTGGTTGTTGTCCATGAAAAAATTGAGAGATGGTACCAGTAATACTGGTTGCTAGAGATTCCTGTTTATAGCCAATGAATAACGTTAATTAATATATATTTTAATGTATACACGTATCTGTGTGTATTTACATATATGACGTATTGTTTGTTGAATTTCACACAGAGCTACTCAAGATATATCTCGCTAGCCACCCCTAACTTTGAAGTGATAGACTAGAGGGAAGGCAGATAGCCAGCACCATCCAGCGCCAACTCGTGCGCTACTCTAATTGAAAATGGGATTTGACAGTCACTCTTATAACGCACCCTTGGTCCTAAATTGTACAGCGCAACTTTTTGTTGTTGTTGGCGGTAACGGTAACCTCGGATTCACAGTTCGGCATGCTTACGACTGGACAGCGTTCGGCCCGCTTCAAACTAAATTGTAAATGCGAAGGTTAACTCATATTTAACCAAAAAATTATGGTAATAATAATATAAAGGAACTTTAAACTTTGGTCAATGCAGAAAAATGACGAAAACAGAGATTAAGAACTAATGATAATTGTTTCTACCGACAGAAGAAGAAATAACGTATTTTTTTTATTACTAGGAATAAATGGAAGATAATTTTAAGTCTATGTAGAATATTTATTATTTTGGAAGTTATAATGTTGCTATAACAGCCTTGAAACTTGATACTTGAGTAAGGATGACTGGATTAGCCGACCAATTTATTGCTTACATGCACTTGGATAGAAGAAGCAGTCATATTTTGAACAACAACAACACAAAAACGAGGTGCATCTTACAGTTAAGATGAGAAGATTATACATAGTGGTGTCAAACCAAGTAAAACCAGTGTTGTGTTATAAATAACTTCAAACTGTTCTTCTGGTTGGTAGTTAGGCACTAAATAACCATTTCTCAATTAAGTTCGGCGTTCACACAGAAAGACAAAGATAAATAGGAGAAAGAGGTCATACTGTACATCCATTGTTGGCGTATACATAATGAACAAAGGGCTCATACTGTATATATATCGTTGGTGTATACACGATGAACAAAGTAAGGCAGATCTAAGGCCTTAACTCCCAAAAACGATTGGATTATCAGAAGCCTTCATTCCAGTCACGATACTAGTAGGAAGGCAGGTGTAACTCCAGAAATCACTCGGGTTATCAGAAGCCTTCATCCTAGTCACATACTAGTAAATTCCCATCACTCCTGAGAAAGGTAGGTGTAACTCCAGAAAGCACTCGAGTAATCAGAAGCCTTCATCCTAGTCACATACTAGTAAATTCCCATCACTCCTAAGAAAGGTAGGTGTAACTCCAGAAAGCACTCTGGTTATCAGAAGCCTTCAACCTAGTCACATACTAGTAAATTCCCATCACTCCTAAGAAAGGTAGGTGTAACTCCAAAAAAGCGCTCGGGTTATCAGGAGCCTTCATTCTAGTCACATACTAGTAAATTCCCATCACTCCTAAGAAAGGTAGGTGTAACTCCAGAAAGCACTCAGGTTATTAGAAGCCTTCATCCTAGTCACATACTAGTAAATTCCTATCACTCCTAAGAAAGGTAGATGTAACTCCAAAATGCGCTCGGGTTATCAGAAGCCTTCATCCTAATCACATACTAGTAAATTCCCATCACTCCTAAGAAAGGTAGGTGTAACTCCAGAAAGTATTCGGATTATCAGATTTATTAAATCCTAATAACGATTCTGCTCATTTTTCTATTGGCTTATAAGGATATTCAAGTTCAAATTGATCTTTACGGCTTACAAATGGATCTCAAACTCCCCTAAAATGAGGCCTAATTTTCAAGTTAATGTAAAAAACAAATATGTTAATTAACAGTTAGGGGGGGTGGGTACAATGGTAAAAAACAGAAGCGTCCATACACTGAATTACTTCATTAGAAAAAAACAAATTTTGGAAGAATCACACATCTATTTTAAGTACTGGCAATTCAATTCACCCACACTAATTTATATCAAAATCATGCAGTCCACTATGGAACATCATGTATATCAGCATAAAGCAATGTCAATTAGGAATGGAAATTAAAAGTGAACGTGCTGTAATCTTACCATGCTGCTTAGAACCCTGTGGACGACATTCGCCAGCTGTGAAGGAAGACACAGGTATAGTTAGTCACTATGTAGTTAGATCATGAAACAATAGACATGCGGTTATCACTGTTTGTGTTATACAATAGAATATCACAACAAACTGTGTGACACTAACAAGTTAGATTACAACCAAACACGATGTTACTTGATATTATGCAACATTTCAAACTTATTTTAACAGTTATATTCATTCTTCATTGTTATTATAAAATAGGAAACAGAAATACATACAAAAAAAAAAGGAAAACAAGAAAATGTATGGGCATTTGAAGATTTTTCAGGTGGTTTTTGTGAAGTTTTTTTTTGTCGAGTTTTCGCGCAAAGCTACTCCAGGACTATCTGCACAAGCCGTATCTAATTTTGAATTGATAGATTAGAGGGAAAGAGCAGCTTGTTAACACCACCCACCGCCAACTCTTTGGCTCCTCTTTACCAACGAATAGCGGGGTTGACAACCACATTATAACGCTCCGACGATTAAAAGAGTGAGCGTTGGGCGACGGGGTTTGATCCCGCTACCCACAGATTGCGATTTGAGCGCTCTAGCTACCAGGTCAGGCCAGGCAAATCTGTCAAGAGATGTGAAAGATGATTGCAGTAGGTTTTCTATCCGAGATTCATCACGTCACCGTTTATATAGTTGTTTCAAACACGTCATTGGCAAAATGTCGTTTCAAACAATGAGATATGCAAAAAAAAGTTAAAACAAAATGCTCTTAGAAGTCCGATATTTGACCTCCCTATAATTCATGAAGGTCAACAAGTATAGATACGAGTAGGCTAAACTTCTTTTTTTATCTTTAACTTCAGGTTCCAGCGTGGACACGAAGATGGTGGGTTGATTTTCTCGGAACATTCCCATTTTACCCTAACATCTAATTCTCTGGCATGGGAATTACTGATATACACCATCACACCACCGCCGGCAACAGTCATGACTTTATTCCCGTGCACCGCCGTACATTTTTGTCAACTTTCTCTGTCCAGTTGACAGTAATCATGTGTATGTATATATATATAATTTTTTCTCAAGTAGCATTATCGTTATACCATGAGCATTACCGAACATTTGGATAACTGATCTGTCGTCTACTAAGCTGAAAGGTTCTAACATTAATCAAATATTTGGATAACTGATCTGTTGTCTACTAAGCTGAAGGGTTCTAACATTAACCAAATATTTGGATAACTGATCTGTCGTCTACTAAGCTGAAGGGTTCCGACATTACCTAATATTTGGATAACTGATCTGTCGTCTACTAAGCTGAAAGGTTCTAACATTAATCAAATATTTGGATAACTGATCTGTCGTCTACTAAGCTGAAGGGTTCTAACATTAACCAAATATTTGGATAACTGATCTGTCGTCTACTAAGCTGAAGGGTTCTGACATTAACCGAACATTTGGATAACTGATCTGTCGTCTACTAAGCTGAAAGGTTCTAACATTAACCAAATATTTAGGTAACTGATCTGTCGTTTACTAAGCTGAAGGGTTCTGACATTAACCGAACATTTGGATGACTGATCTGTAGTCTAGCTAGATTGGATGATTCTGAAATTACTCGAACATTTGGGTAACTGATCTGTTGTCTATCTAAGCTGAAGGGTCCTTACATTAACCGAACATTTGGATAACTGATCTGTTGTCTACTAAGCTGAAGGGTTCTGACAATTAACCAAACATTTGGATAACTGATCTGTCGTCTACTAAGCTGAAGGGTTCTGACATTAACTGAACATTTGGATAACTGAACTGTCGTCTACTAATCTGAAAGTTTCTAACATTAACCAAATATTTGGATAACTGATATGTCGTCTACTAAGCTGAAGGGTTCCGACATTACCTAATATTTGGATAACTGATCTGTCGCCTACTAAGCTGAAGGGTTCCGACATTACCTAATATTTGGATAACTGATCTGTTGTCTACTAAGCTGAAGGGTTCTAACATTAACCAAATATTTGGATAACTGATCTGTCATCTATTAAACTGAAGGGTTCTAACATTAACCAAATATTTGGATAACTGATCTGTCGTCTACTAAGCTGAATGGTTCTGACATTAACCGAACATTTGGATAACTGATCTGTCGTCTACTAAGCTGAAGGGTCCTGACATTAACCGAACATTTGGATAACTGATCTGTCGTCTACTAAGCTGAAGGGTCCTGACATTAACCGAACATTTGGATAACTGATCTGTCGTCAACTAAGCTGAAGGGTTCTGACATTAACCGAACATTTGGATAACTGATCTGTCGTCTACTAAGCTGAAGTGTTCTGGCATTAACCGAACATTTGGATAACTGATCTGTTGTCTACACATTTTTATTTTGTTTGTGGTTGTGTTTGGTTAAACACCTCCATAAGTATTCGTCTTTAGTTTTATTTTTTACCCTACTAAATCTTTCAGTGTCAGACGAGTAGTTCAAAATAATTCAATATATGAAAAGGTTATTTGCAATAAAACACAATGTGCTTGTTTGATTCGTATACTTAAACAAAGCTACACAAGGACTATGTGCGCTAGCCGTGTCTACTTTTCAACTGACTGACTATGAGAAACCCATATTAAGCCTTGTTTTCCCGTAAAATTACACTGATCCATTGAAATACATCACTCTTCTAACGCAGAGTGCGACTTGCGGCAATGGAACGCAAATCATGAACTCTAGAACTTATAAATGTTTGTGAAAATCGAAAATACCTTAATCAGCTGTTCTGATACCATTTAAATTGTTAGTAGAAACTTCTGATGGAGAATCAAGAAGTAAGTTATAAATAAATGAAACAATTCTGTATAAAAATATGACTAAAATCGTAATATAATTAATTCACACAATGTTTATAACGTAATAAATATTCAGATGTGTATCATCCCTATTAACGACATTTTCGGTCGTTATTCCAATAATATATCAGAGTTCGGCCAGCTTAGGAGACTGAGGTTAATCGTAAACCCAGATACTAGCTAAGCTACTAACTAACAATGTAAAATAACCTTCATATGAGTGTCCCCCCAGTGGCACAGCGGTATGTTTGCGGACTTACAACGCTAGAATCCGGGTTTCAATACCCGCAGTGGGCAGAGCGCATTGTGTAGCTTTGTGCTTAATTACAAAAAAAAAAAAAACAATCATAAGAGTAAGAAATTAATAATTATAAAATCATTCTAAACTTTATATCCCATAATATTAATGAAACTAACTACAAAAAAAAGGATTATGTTATTTTCCAAATACATTTCAGTGTTTTAAACGCTTTTCATTTTTTAATGGCTAACAAAAAAAACTCCCCGGAGGATCAGAGGTAAAATTGAGGGTTTATAACGCTAAAATTACGAGTTTAATCTCTGCGTTTGGGCATAACATAAGTGTAGCCTTACACTTTAAAACAAAAAAAAAAGATACAGACAAAAAGCAGAGAGAAAAAAAAAGGCATTTTGTCACTCTAAGTTGTAAACATCCGTGATCGATTTACAGACAAAAAAATGTTTCAAAAGAATTAGTTGTTACGTATTATTTCTTTTCAAATAAATTAGTTTCTTGACATAGTGACAGAACACAAGGCCAAAACAGTTGTCTTGTCGCTGAAGGAAAACCGAATTGTTAACACACAAACCTGAACGGTCAACCAACACTACCTGTGTGAAGAAAGGCTAATCAGTGTGTGAAAGTCGCGTGAGGAAAGGCTAACTAAGCATTGTATGGAAGTCGCCGTCTTTAAAATCCTATATGACAAGATGATAACGGAAGATGTATACACACAGCTGAAATACCCGTCAATAGCTACACGAGGGTTATCTGCGCTAGCCGTCCCTAATTTAGCATTGTAAGACTAGAGGGAAGGCAGCTAGTCATCACCACCCACCGCCAACTCTTGGGCCACTCTTTTACCAACGAATAGTGGGATTGACCGTCACATTATCACGCCCCCCACGGCTGAAAGGGCGAGCATGATTGATGTGATGGATATTCGAACCCGCGAGCCTCAGATTGCGAGTCGAGCGCCCTAACCACCTGGCCATGCCGGGCCTGATGGGGAATGTTTAAACTTAATTAAAACAATGTACGTTTAACAGCAATCATATATTTCAAAGTAATAACTTGAACATGAACTTTATCTCAAAATTTTAAAATCAGAGCAAAGTTTCTTCATAAACAACATTTGTAGTTTGCTTTCCATCTACCGACAAATAAAGATTTTGAGGTGATCCCACCCTTGAACACCCTACATCTCATAGTTATGAGAATTTGTTTGTAGTTATGCACAAAGCTACACAATGGGCTATCTGTGCTCTGCCCACCACGGGTATCGAAACCCGGTTTCTAGCGTTGTAAGTACGTAGACATACCGCTGTTCCACTGGGGGGGGGCTGTTATGAGAAAAGCACGGTTGTTTGAGAAACAATCCAGCAACTTTCATACTTTGCCTTTGAATCCCTTTAGAATGTTCATCATTGTCTAAAGCGTCAACCTGCCAACATTATTTTGAGATTGACTCAACAAACTGGGAGTAATTAACCAACAAGCTTTACAAAATAAACGACATTCCCCATAATTCATAGTGTTCACGTACACATTTGGAATGAGATTGGCCCAATAGGCTCAGAGGAGTAAGGATACAAATAAACACACATTTCGTCTTTATATGTTGCACATGTACAGTAACGAGTAATTATTCGCCTCTCCCTAGAGCCCATGAGACTGTGACATTAAATGTGAGACTGAGTCATATGATGATAAACACAACTTCAGCAGTTAAAATATTACACTCGTCGGTAAAACAGACTTTATGCCTTGTTTTTAAGAACCCACAAGCATAATAGTAAATTCCCTGCTGTATTTCATTGATAATAAGTGCATAAAACAAAGACGCTCACATATACATAACATGTGGATAGTAGCTGATTAAAGTAAACCAAACTACTAAGTAAGTCTACAGCTACACACACAACTAAGGTAATAAATATGAAGAAAAGCGCTGGACTA